CTGCCCAGTGGCTTCTAGAAGTTCCTAGTGCACAATGTCAAGGAGCTTGAGGTGTTGCCAATGTGCAACAAATCTCAGTGCGCAGAGATTGCTCACAGTGTCTCCTGAAAGAACCACAGAGCCACTGTGGAAAGAGCAGCCCAGTTGGCTGTCAGAGTCCCCGATCCCAATGCCAGGTTGTGCAGCGAAGAAAATGAATAGATAGCTTATGTGCATGTCATATTTGTGTTCATAAAACCATAAAACTAAAAAAAAAGTGGTGTTGTCTGTATTTGACCACTTTTGATTTATAAAAGAGCAATTTTGTGTCATTCAGCCTAATATTTCAAGTGTTTGAGGAGTATATTGAAGGCAGATATCCTAAAAGACAAAGCACTAAAGGATGCCTGGAGGGAAGATTGAATTCCTAAGGAAAACTAGATAGGGCATCAATAAAGGATGGTTTTCATTGATGGCTTACAAAACCCAGTTGTTGTTGTTGTTGTTGTTTTAATTGATCTGTGCGGGGCAGTTTGTGAATCATAGATGTACTTATAAGAGCTTTACTGCAACATCCCAGAAATCCATTAATTCTTAAAACTCCAAACTCTGCTTTTTTTAAGTGAAACAAATATTACCAGGATAGACTAACAACTTGGTTATGTCTTTTTGGTTTTGTTCTGTTTTTAATGGTGAAGCCACTTGTAAACAAAGAACACATTAGGTGGAGATTATCAAACCTTTAGGCTGAGCATTGCCCCTGATGTATTGAGGCAACTGATTGGCAGGGGAAGAGCAGATAAAATGCTCTTCCTAAGCTATGGGGACAGGTTACCTAGTAACCACAGAATGATTAAATTCTGTTCACAGAGACTTGTTCTCTTAATTGGACAAAAAGATTTAAAGAACATAGCTGGAGAGCAACTGGAGCCATGGAGGACTGTGACAGGTGTCAGTGGGTCTCATATCAGCAGTTCTAGCAGCCTTCACTTAAGGGGCACAGCATGTGATTGAATCCTTTGTTAGTAATAAGCAGGTAAGCTGCCTATAGAGCCAGAATTCTGCGCTCTTCTCACCTATAGGAAAAATGAAGACAAGGTATGGAATGGAACACATTAAATGCAGTGCAAACTCCACGTGGCATTATAGTTCTGACAGTGATCACTCTCCGTGTACAAGATTGTGTTTGTGCTCAGATATCAAAGTTCTATTCCTTACTAGAACGCAGAGTGGTCATTTGGGGTCAGTATATCCTGTTATCCCTCTCTTTTGTCTGTTAGGCACATATTGCTTTATAGAGAATTATGGTCATTCCGTTCTCCCCTGCTTTAACAGTAAAATTAAGAAAAACAAAGTTCTAGGTTGACAATGATTAAAATTTTTTTTTATCCGTTAAGGACCTTTAGGTAACACAATCATTTTTTCCTGTGCTCAAAAAAGAACTCAACATGCATGTCACTAACTGTAACTTGAAAAGCTCTATCTGAGAGTCACTTTTAAAAATGTTTTCCATGGGGCACCTAGCTGGCTCAGTCGGTTGAGCGCCCGACTCTTGATTTCGGCTCAGGTCATGATCTTAGGGTTATGAGATTGAGCCCCACATTGGGCTCTGCGCTAGGTGTGGAGCCTGCTTAAGATTCTCTCTCGCTCCCTCTGCCCCTCCCCTCCCCACTTGTGCTCTCTCTCTAGGAAAAAAAATATGTTTTTCGGTTATACCTTATACTCCTTGAGTAAGATTTATAAGTTAATATTGCCTCGGTTTGGCAGCTTTCCTAACAGGGATGCAGCTTAAAATTTTCTTAAAGCCCCCCCCAAGTGACAAACAACAAATTAATCCATTACTTCATAACATGCTAATACCTCCAAGCGGCAAGTTCTGTTTTCTCTTTTAGTATTAGATGAATCAATAGCTACAGTACTTTGATTGGAGAATGACTAAGAGATAGTCAATAGCTCACAGTCTCAAGTGCTCTTCAGTCACCAAAACCTAAGGGATTTTGTTTTGAAACTGAAGTCAACACAAAGTGCACACCCATCCTGTAATTCTTCTTCTCTTACTCTGCCCTGTTATCTATTTCTTTTAAAAAATTTTTTCCTAAATATTTGTTTTTGTCCTCCAGGGACTTTAGGGATTAAAATATGTTCATAAGAACCCAGTGAATGGAAAAAGATTATCTTCAGCTTTTACAACTTGTTGCTTTTATTGCATTTATTGGGTAATTTTCACTGTGGTGTTTAGCATGTCCCAACAGACAAACATGAGTTCCAGGAATCCTCTGAATTATGAAACTAAGGGTTATCTATAAAGATATAGATTAAATGTATAAATAATAATATGTTTTTAAAAATGTAAAATAAAATGCAATAAACAAACTATGTATTATATGTATTAGACTATATATTACAGTATGTGTGAGATATAGTTTATTTTATTCATATCTCTAGTTCCAAAGAGTTTAGAGCTCCTCCAATAAAATATAGGTTTAATTGAGCCATTAAAAAAAGCCACCTGCTTAAGAAAGGGAATTAGAGATAAACAGAAAAATAGGCTATGAATAATTATTGCAACTGAGCATAAATCTTAGTTTCAAGCTTCCTGTCACCTAAGAAAAAAAGGGAAACCCAATAATAAAAGTAAGCATGCCAATTCTTTAGGGAAGAAAAAGATTTTCCATCTAAAATATATAAATTTCTAAATATCAATAAAAAATACATCATTGGAATAATTTCATAACATGAAATTCATATTTAAATATACAATAAAAGGTCTTTAGGCATGCCAATTCTCCAAGTCTATTGCACCTGGTAGTGATCCCTCACCAATGGAAGGGTGTTTCTGGGAACTAACTCTGCCATAAGCCCATATTGGCTGCATGCATCTGCCTATGATCACAATTGCCTCTTGGGAATAGCAACCAGAAAGGATCCTCTCTTGTTTATACACACCGAGTGAAAGCCAAAGACAAATTAAATTAAACTTATTATAATGTGTTCGCTGCTAAAATTGGAGAGAAAAAGTAAATTCTTGAAAGAATTGGAACAAAATACTTAAATAATGAAAGTAGGTGGCTTCAATTGAAGTTGGATACCAAGCAATGTTGTCTCCAGAACACTCTGCGGGTCTTGGAGATTCTTTCCTATTCCAAAGCAGTATCTACTTTTCATCCTAAATTTTACTTTCGTAAGAGTAGCTGGCATCACCTTTATGTGAATCAAGTCACTGTGTTACCTCTCCCAGGGGTGTTTGCCCTTTAAGCTTTCGCTCTAATTCGATTTAACAAATGCTTACTGGAGGCGTATTATATGCAAGCAAGGTACTTTCCAGATGCTAGCAGTGGAATAAAAGGCTTCATGTTCTTAGGTAGGGATTTCAAGCATCAGTGAATAGGTAGGCAAGAGAGTTTTCCTTCTCTGTGTAACATCTTACTCTCCGTCCCTGTATCCTTCTAAATGACCTTTGTTGTTGGGGCCACAGAGCCATCACACATACTTACACATTCCTCAAATTTTTAGTCTAATTTTCTCCTTTTCCTAGTCTTAGAGAACCAGGAGTTTAGACGTTATTGTAGCTGAATTTCTGGCTTATTCCCCTTTCCTTGTCATAGGATTCCTGACTTACTCCCTTATGTCTGAATTTTTCTGATACCCCAGTTTTTCCTTAGAAGAGAGAAAAATATTATGTGTTGAAAACCTCATTTTAGGGGTGCCTGGGTGGCTCAGTTAGTGAAGCATCTGCCTTCGGCTCAGGTCATGATCCCAGGGTCCTGGGATCGAGCCCGCATCGGGCTCCCTGCTCAGCGGGAAGCCTGTTTTTCCCTCTCCCACTCCTCCTGCTTGTGCTCTCTCTCTTGCTGTGTCTCTCTCTCTCTCTCTCTCTCTGTCAATTAAATAAATAAATAAAATCTTAAAAAAAAAGAGAAAGAAAACCTCGTTTTATTTTCCAGGCAGTAAACATAGTAATCCTTGCCACTACAATATTAGTAGCATCATTTACATTTAAAAAAGGAGGGCCTGAGGCTCAGAGAGGTTTCCAAACAAGGACCGAAGCTGGGAGGTGGCAGAAAAGTCCCACATATCTGACTCCAAAGCCAGTTCTTTTTCCATCACAGCAGCCGTTCTCAAAGGGGGTGAAATTTTGCCCCTCCCCCGAGGAAATTTGGCAATATCTGGAGACATTTTTGTGACAACCAGAGGTGGAGTGAGTGGGTTACTACTGTCATCTAGTGGGTGGAGGCCATGGATGCTGCTAAACATCCTACTATGTACAGGGCACCTCCCACAACAAAGAATTATGCACCCAGCCCCAAATGAAGAGAAGCCGGTGCTACATTACAGAATGCTCCCTGCCCTATTCTGATCTTATTTCCAAGGATCCAAAGGTAGGTAACTGCCTCAAAATTAAACAAATTGTAGAAAGCGACAGACCAATCAACGCCTTGTTCATATTACAACTCTCTTCCAGCATAAAGAAAACCAGATTGGAGCCTTAAAACGAAAATGCTGGGTGTGGGGAGAGAAGAGGGGTAGAGCGCTGTAAGCAGAAAGGAAAGGCAAACTGGTTATTGAGTTTAACAATCGGGATGTGAATGTATAGATTTTTTTCATCCCCAGGATTTTCACTAATAATCCAAATGTCCACGCACTGCTTTGAAATTTAACTATTTGGACCTGGTTAATTTTACCCTGACCTCAGCCAACATTTGCGTTTGATTTTTTTTCCGGGACCCAGGGAACGTGGACGCCAGATGAGGCCACCTTGTCTCCTGCTGTTCCCGCGGGGACAAGACCTGCCAGGGGCTGGTGACTTGGCTCCTGACAAGAGGCCGCTCTGTGGACGACTGGCAGGATCCCAGAGCCACAGACAGGCGTTTGGGACACTTTCCCAGCCCAGGGGCCCCCACCCTCAACCGCTCCCGTCCTCCCTCCGGGTATCCCCGGGGGCGGGGCTGCGGGAGAGCACGTCCCTGCGCCGTGACGTCACAATCCCGGCGCCTTGGCCCCTGCCCTTAGCAACCGGCCTGGCGACGGTCTCCAGTAGCTGCGGCCTAGCGCCGGCTCCTGCGCGCCAATCGTGTGCGGCGGGGCCCGGCCCGACCCGGGGAAGGACCGAAGGGGACCTACCGTGTCCCCACGGTGGCTGCAAGAGAATCTAAGCATGGATGGCAGCCGGAGAGGTAAAGGGAGCTCTCGTGGTGACGGCAGCCTCGCGCCGGCCCTCACCCCGGGCCTGGGGTCCGGGATGCGGGTCGCGGGTGCGCGGGTCCAGGCTTCGCCCAGGGGGCTTCCGGGTCCCTGTTCAGTCGCCACTGTTGATCCAGGTGTTACCCCGCTCACAGGACGAGGCCCTCCTTGCCCATAATCTGAGGCCCTGCCTGCTGGAACCCCGGTCGCCTGAACTCGGGAGCATGCAGCCTTTTTTACCTCGGTGGCTCCGAGGCAGAGGAACTAAATTTGGTCTTTGGAGTCAGACCTCCCAGAGCCCCAGATCAAGCCCCGCTGCTCTCCGCAAGGGTGACACCCAATTTCCTCATCTCTCGAATGTGGCAGTGAAACATTCATGTCAGAGTTCTTGAAAATTAAATGCAGATAATATATAACTCCTGGCATATTTTAAGTAGTCAGTAAATAATGAAATCGTCCTTCTGTAATCATCTCCCTCCCCCACGAAACAAGTAACCCAGGGTTTCTTTAACTTTAACGTGAATAGGAATCCCCTGGGAATCGTGTTAAAATGTAGATTATGGTTCAGTATGTCTGGTGGGGGCTGAGATTTTGCATTTCTAATAAGCTGTCAAATGATACAGTGTTGCTGGCTACAGTTTTAGTGGCAAAGGACTAATCCATAATCACTGTGTACACCTGCACTTTACTGAATACTCTCTGGGTCAAGTGGACATCACGGTGGAACTCTTGGGGCCATATAACTTTAAATCTCTATGAATTGGCTCAATGCAAATAATTTGCATTTTCACATTCTGTCAGCAAGTAGAGTTCTTGCCTCAAGCCAGATAAAGTAATCTCCAGATCCTTCCCCTCCCAATTATCACTTTTAAAAGTATCCTTAAACCAAGCTGCTAGATGGTTCCTTGCAGTAAGTCTTGCTTTGAACATGAGTGTGCCTTTATTATGTAATCATTGGTCAAAATAAGTGCTGTTCTGAATATAGTAGATCACTATTCATTGATAGCAAACTGTATATTATGACACTCTGTCAACCTAAATTCCAGAAAAAGCAAACCAACATGCCTTTATGGTTTTTAGAAATTTTGCAACATAAGCTACCCTTGCTGTGTACCAGAAATAATTCTCAAGCTATGTCTTGGTAGGTATTATCCTCATTTCACAGCAAATAAACTAAGAGATCATAAATAACTTGCGAAGGTCACAGTAAGTGGCAGAACAAGCTTTATATCCAGATGAGGAATGTGAACCCCTAGAGCCATTGTTTTTTACTTACTATCCCATGGCAGAAGTGGGAGTATGAGAAAGGATGTTTGTAAAATTTCAAGTATACAGGCATACCTTGGAGATACTGCAGAATCCGTTCTATTGCAATAAAGCAGATATCTCAATAAAGTGAGTCAAATTAATATTTTGGTTTCCCAGTGTTTATAAAAGTTGTGTTTACCCTACACTGTAGTCTGTTAAGTATGCAATAACATTATGTCTAAAAAAATGTACATGCCCTCATTTAAAAATACTTCGTTCCTAAAAAATGCTAACCATTATCTGAGTTTTCAGCAAGTAGTAATCTTTTTGCTGGTGAGGGACCTTGCATTAATGTTGAAGGCTGCTGACTGGTCAGGGTGGTGGTTGCTGACCATTGGGGTGACTGTGGCAGTTTCTTAAAATGAAACAACATTGGGGGTGCCTGGCATGCTCAGTGGAGCATGTGACTCTTGATCTCTAGGTCATGAGTTTGAGCCCCACGCTGGGTGTTGAGATTACTTTTAAAAAATGAAATCTTTAAAAAAAAAAAGGAAGGAAAAAGAAAAGAAGACAACATTGAAGTTTGCCACATTGATTGACCCTTTCTTTCATGAATGATTTCTCTGTAGCATGTGATATTGTTTGATAGCATTTTACCCACAGTAGAGCTTCTTTCAAAACTGGAGTTAATTCTGTCAGCTAAGTTTATGTAGTATTCTAAATCCTTTCTTGTCATTTCAACGATCTTCACAGCATCTTTACCAGGAATAGATCCCATCTCAAGAAACCACTTTCTTTGCTTGTCTTTAAGAAGCAACTCCTCATCTGTTAAAGTTTTATTGTGAGATTGCAGCAATTCAGTCACATTTTCAAGTTCTACTTCTAATTCTAGTTCTCTTGTTATTTCTGTCACATCTGCAGGTACTTCCTCTACTGAAGTCTTGAACCCCTCAGTCATCCATGAGGGTTGAAATCAATTTCTTCCAAATTCATATTAATGTTGATATTATTACTTCTTCCTACAAATCACAAATATTCTTAATGGCATCTACGATGGTGAATGCGTCCCAGAAGGTTTTCAATTTACTTTGCCCCAATCCATCAGTGGAATGGCAGCTAAAGCCTTATGAAATGTATTTCTTAAATAATAAGACTTGAAAGTTGAAATTACTCCTTGATGCATGGGCTACAGAATGGATATTGTCTTAGCAGACATGAAAACATTAAGCTCATTATATATCTCCATCAGAGCTTTTGGGTGACCAGGTACGTTGTCGATGAGCTTAGTAATATTTTGAAAGGAATCTTTTTCTGAGCAGTAGGTCTCAACAGTAAGCCTAAAATATCCACTGAGGGGCACCTGGGTGACTCAGTTGGTTAAGCGACTGCCTTTGGCTCAGGTCATCATCCCGGGGTCCTGGGATTGAGCCCCGCATCGGACTCCCTGCTCAGCGGGAGCCTGCTTGTCCCTCTCCCTCTCCCTCTGCTTGTGCTCGCTGTCTCTCTTTCTCTCTGTCAAATAAGTAAAAATTAAAATCTTAAAAAAAAAATCCATTGAGCCCACCCAGAGACACCAAAAATAACAACAACAACAGCAAAACACCCTAACAACAAATGTGCTGTTATAAACAAATGTGCTGTTACATGGGCATTGTTGTTCTATTTATAGGGCACTGACACAGCAGATGTAGCATAATTCTTAAGGGCCCTAGGATTTTCCAAAATGGTAAATGAGCATTGGCTCCAACTTAAAGTCACCAGCTGCATTAACCCCTAACAAGAGAGTCACCTGTCCTTTGAAGCATTAAAGCCAGGCATTGACTTCTCCTCGGAGGCGATGAAAGTCCCGGATGGCATCTTCTTCCAATATAAATGTTTCATCTACATTGAAAATCTGTTTAGTGTAGCCACCTTTATTAATTATCTTAGCTAGATCTTCTGGATAATTTGCTGCTTCACCTTATACTTTTATGTTATAGAGATGGCTTCTTTTCCTTAAACCTCATGAACTAATCCCTGCTAGCTTCAGACTTTTCTTCTGCAGCTTCCTTACCTCTCTCAGCCTTCATAGAAATGAAGAGAATTGGGGGCTTGCTCTGGATTGGGCTTTGCGTTTTTTTGTTTTTGTTTTTTTTTGGATTAGGCTTTGGTTTAAGGGAATGTTGTAGCTGATTTAATCTTTTATCCAGACCACTAGAACTTTCTACATGTCAGCAATTAGGCTGTTTTCACTTTCTTATCATTTATGTGTTTCCTGGAGCAGCACTTTTAATATCCTTCAAGAACTTTTCTTTTGTATATATAACTTGGCTAAGTGTTTGACACAAGGGGCCTAGATTTGGCGTAACTCAGCTTTGAACATGCCTCTCTCACTAAGCTTAATCATTTCTAACTTGATTTAAAGTGAGATGCATGCAACTGTTCCTTTCACTTGAACACTTAGAGGTCATTGTAGGATTATTAATTGGCCTAATTTCAATATTGTTGTTTCTCAGGGAATGGGGAGGTCCGAGAAAGGAAGAGATGTGGAGGAATGGCTGTTCGATAGAACAGTCAGAACATACAACATTTATCAAGTTCCCCTGGATTCAGATCCAAAATCTGAGTCTATTACACACAATTGTCGTGTAATCTTGGGCAAATTACATGCTTTACCTCTTTGTGCTTCGCTGTAAAGAGTGGGGATAATGATAATACCTATCTTATAGGATTGTTGTAAGGATTAAATGAATTTATAGCTACCAAGTGCTTAGAACAGTACCTGCCTGGCACAGTTAGTATTCAATATATTAGCTTTTGACTACAAGTGGAGAAACCCAATTCAAACTGATTTAGAGATTTTTAGCTCCTGTAAAGAAACGTCTAGTAATGTCAAACATGGTTAGATCCAGGGAATCAAATGAAATTACCATCTTCCATTTCTCTCTGTTAGGCTTCATTCTCAGACAGGTTCCCTGTATGGTACAAGACAGCCACCAGGAGTACCAGGCTTCTTTGTCTTACACTGGGCTCCAGCCCAGTAGAGAGAGTACCTCTTTCCTAATAGTTCTAGTGAAAGTCCCAGGATTGTGTGTCATTGGCTGGACTTGGATCACATACTTATTCCTGATTCACTAAACATAACTGGTCAGATGTGGGTTATATGCCAACCCCTGAGCTGTGGGATAAGCTCTACTTGAATTACTTGGGCTAAAAGTAAGGCAAGAGTGGTTCCCCAAGTGCAAGTTGAAGGTCCTATTTCCAGATAAAGGGACATAGGGTTTTGGGCAGGCAAAATGTGAGACACTTTGTTTTCCCCCAGAGAAACAAGGTTTGCTGGAGAGGTTTTGTTGGTCATTTTGCTTTCTTTGTGTGTTTAGGTCTCAGATCTCCTTCTTTCCTGGTAGAAACAAACTATGCTAATTTCATGACTGTCATTACCAACTCACATGGTATCACCTTGACCTCTCTTGTTCTAAGTAATGTTAATTTTTTTCCTTCCTGCCCTCTAGCCTGTGATAGAGAAGGATCTTCTCAGATAATCAGATCTCAAGTATTTTTTATTTTAGTCTGTTCTAGCAGGCTTTGTTCTCTGGTCCTGGATTTTAATTCATCTCGATACCTCTCTTTCCATTTTCAATCATCCATATTTCCAGACTTTGTGTCCCTTCCACACCTTTTAGCTTATAGCAGCCCACCTGATAGCCGACTGACCATTTTACCATCTTAAAAACATGTCTTAAGGGGGCGCCTGGGTGGCTCAGTCGTTAAGCGTCTGCCTTTGGCTCAGGTCATGATCCCAGGGTCCTGGGATCAAGCCCTGCGTCGGGCTCCCTGCTCAGCGGGAAGCCTGCTTCTCCCCTTCCCACTCCCCCTGCTTGTGTTCCCTCTCTCACTGTGTCTCTCTCTGTCAAATAAATAAATAAATACTCTTAAAAAAAAAAAAAAACATGTCTTAGGGATACACTATTCTTATTTTGCGTGTTAAATTCCATTAAAATCTATAACTCAACCTTCTTATCTTGAAGGTTACTCCTCAAAACACAATTCACTTTTAGGGGAGAGAAATTAATTTTGTGATGAGGTATATATCTAATTTTCTGACGTTCCATCTGGTCTGAAAGATGAGACACTGGCTTTAGGGGAGATAGCAAGGATCCAAACAAGAGCGTAAGGGGGTTGGATGAGATGAACCTTACATCTTTTAATAATTAAGTTCTGATTCTGATATTTTTATACATATATTTTACATACAGTAACATTGTATAATTTCTAATTTACTAAACTACTTTGTGAGAGGATTACTTTCTTAAAATTATTTTTAAGAACAGACTTACTTATGATTAACTGAAATAGTTAATGTATATGTATTAACTCAGAATCTCACTTCTATATCTCCAAATCATTAAAAAATCTGGTAGGTCAGTGGTGTACAGAATAAAATTAATATATATCAAATAACATAAGTGAGGTATTTATCATTTTATCCAGTGAAACTAAAGTCTCAGGGTATAGCTGTTTTGAAAACAACTTATTTTCTTAAAAGAGAAAGCCTTTTATCTTCTACAGCAATAGAATTTTTGTCTGTCTGATGTATCATTGCTGATTAGTATCATGATTGAATAAAATTTTAAACAGTTCTGATAGTTAAAACCAAAGATACAGTTATTATTTTTAAATATTCAATATTGTTGTTTTTGTACAAGTTGCCTTTGATTTATCGTAATTTATATTTTTTTGTTAAAAGTCAGAGCAACCTCTGTCCTTCCCAGATACGGTCCAACATGCGTATTTAAAGGACACTTGAGCACCAAAAGTAATGGTAAGTGAGGTATTTAAGTGGTAAAAGATTATGTGTTAAAAGGTTGACTGTTTGTTTCCTTTATTTGTAAAGTGTAGGACATGATGAAAAATTACTTCATTTAATCAGTATTGAACTTCATATTGTTAATTACAATTAAATATTATAGGAATTATTGAGATGAGGGAATTTAGGAAGCCATCCTTTCAAACTGGTGTTGTGCCCAGGATGTGGCCCTGGCCGCTGCCTGCTCCCTCCTGCAGCTCCAGCCCCGCTCTCCTCTGTGCTGACAAACCTCCCTGGCTTCCGGCACGCCTTCCTGGGTGAAGTGGTGAAGGGGTTAGTAAAGACACTGGCACTGAAAAGGGAAAGCTGTGCAGAGAAAAAGAGCACTTGAAAAATATATTTTGTATCAGGAGTAAACACCTGTGATTTTACTTTTCCAACTGGATTTCTAGATTCTATGAGAAAGAAATCTGTATTTTCTGTATTTTCACATTTTTAAAGCCTTTACATTTTTAATGTGAACTTAAAATATATTTTTATAATGATAGCTTCAAAATTTAAACTCTGGGTTTTTTAAGGCAAAATAATTGAAAGTCTTTTTTTCTTTATTTACATGAAAAATCTTTGATACTGGTTTCTCTAAAAGTGAAAGAAGGATCACATTTTCAGTTAACTTATCTCTTGTAATAAAATATATGTACACATAGATCAGAGTCATCAATGTTGAAAAATTATTTTTAACTAAAAATTTAAAACTAGATGTAAAGAATACATACATTAGAAAAGCAGAAGGAACAACAATAAATAGTTGGCTAACTTTTTTTTTAAGAATATATGTGCAACTACAAAAAAAAAAAAGAATATATGTGCGGAACTGGTATAGGTTTAGTGGATCTAAGTAGGAGGCTGCCTGTGTTCGCGTCAGCTATGGGACCTTGAAGACCTTATTCATATCTCTACCTTAGTTTCCATTTCTATTAAATGGTGATAATGACTAAATGAGTGTTCACATGTTAAGAGCTTAGAACAATGCATGAATGGTACCTATTCAATAAATTTTAATAGTAGTAATAGTATCAAGCTTATCAATATTGTATATCCTTGTATTGTGCATAGAATTTCCCTAGAAGGATGCATAAAAATAGTAGCAGAGTATACTTCTGGGAGGGGAGGAGAGGGGTCATGGCAGGAAGTTCACTTATTTTTCAGTCTTTTTATATACCGTTTTAGCTGTTGACTTTTTAAAACTCTATGTATGTATTCTCAAAATCGGCTTTTAATGTTTAAAAGTTATGCCTACATTTATTTACATTTTATACATTTATACTTATATAAATTTCTAAGATTTCTTTTACACAGTTTAGATGAGATTGAGAAGTTTAATGTCATAGAATTTCTATGTGACTGTATTTGTCTTAAGATAGCCCTAAATTTCAAGAAGAGTGCAGTAAACTGATGGTGTTTTCAGGTGTAAACTTAGAAGTTGCCTCTCAGAAAAGAATCTTTGCATAGTATTTGAGTTTCAAATTTGATTTATTCAACTATTAACAATGCTAACATTTTATAATCAGGCAAGTGGCTGAACATTTTTACGAGATTGAGGCCTGTCAGTAAGAAACAGTTTTGTAAATACAATGATAGATTATATTCTAGAATCTCTTCCCAAACTCTCAGTCTTAGAAAGGTTTGAACCCAAGTAGTCAATAGCTTGTCAGTTATCAGTGCAAGATTAAGGCTAGGACATATTCAGCATCACAGATACGTCAGTATGTTCATTGGTTAATTTTCAGAACATTTTATAAAAATGAGCTTAATAATCAGTATCTTGTTTATCTCATGATGATTTTTATATTCTAAATATATAATGATTAAATATGTTTTAATTTTTAGCTTTTTGCACTGACTCCTCCTCTCTCAGACTAAGTACTCTCCACCTGGTCAAGAATCACATGGCTGTTCACTATAATAAAATCCTTTCAGCCAAAGGTAAAAATGTGCAAATGTGAACTATACCCAGTTTAAACCCTCAGCTTCCTTTCTAATTAGGGTAAATCTGTAGCAAAAATGAATATATATATAAATGGATTTGTGTTTGGTGTGGTAAGATATCAACCGTTAACTCTAACTTTTATATGTAGAAAATTCAGAATGCCATTTTTATTAACTATATTTGATATCTATATAATAATTACATTATTTCATTTTACCTGTGTTATCCGTAATACATTTTTGTGGTTAGATATTGATCTTAATATAATAAGTTTGTAATCTGCTTTTTTGTTTTCAAATCTATTACAGAAATTGTACAAAGAGGATGCCAGCTATTACTTTTTTCTTTTTTGTTGCTTTACTGAGATAATAATATACAATAAAATGCGTTAATTTTAAGTGTACAGTTAAGGGTTTTGAAACATATATACATTTGTATAATCACAACAGTCATCCTATAACAGGGATCGGCTAACTACAGCTCGTAGGCCAAATCCTCCTGCCACCTATTTTTGTACAGCTCTTGAACTAAAAATGATATTTGTATTTATGTTTTTAAATGGTCAGAAAAAATCAAAAGAACAATATTTCAGGGCACCTGGGTGGCTCAGTTGGTTAAGCGACTGCCTTTGGCTCAGATCATGATCCTGGAGTCCCTGGATCTTGCTCCCTGCTCAGCGGGGAGCCTGCTTCTCCCCCTGACCCTCCCCCATCATGTGCTCGCTCTCATTCTCTCTCTCTCAAATAAATAAATAAAATCTTAAAAATATATATATATTTTGTAACATGTGAAAGTCACATGAAATTCAAATTTCATTGTCCGTAAATAAACACAGTCATGTTCATTCTCAGATATATTGTCTGTGGTGGCTTTTGCTCTAACGAGCAGAGCGGACTAGTTGTGACAGAGGCCATAATCCCTCTGTAAAGCCTGAAGAATTTACCATCTGTCCCTTTGCAGAAAACATTCACTGACCCCTGATACAGAACATTCCCATCACCCTAAAAAGTTCTCCCTAGTCCTTTGCAATCAGTCTCTTCCCCCAATCCTTGGCAACCCCTTATCTGCTTTCTATCACTATAGTTTTGCCTTTTCTAGAATTTCATATAAATGGAATCATACACTGTGTATCATTTTGTGTCTGGCTCCTTTCAATTAGCTAATGTTCTGGAGACTAATCCATGTTGGTATGTACGTCTGTAGTTCTTCCTTTTTATTGTTAAGTCATTTTCCATTCAGTGAATATACCACAGTTTGCTTATGAATTCATCAGTTCGTGAGTATTTGGATTGTTTTGACTCAATTTTGGCCATTAGGAATAAAGCTGCTATAAGCATTCTCGTACAGTCTTTGAACATGTGCTTCCTTTTCACGCTGATAAATGTTATCACTACGAGTGGAATTGTGGGGTAAAATGGTAAGTATGTTTAACTTTATAAGAAACTGCCTGTTTTTCAGAGTGAGTGCCATTGTGTGTTTCTATCACTTCTGCATTCTCACCAGCACTTCCTTTGGCAGTCCTCCTGCAGCCATTCTAGTGGAGATTTAGGTCGCTCATCAGGGCTTTAGCTTTATTTCCCTGATGCCTAATGATGTTGACTAACTTTTGTGCTTATTTGCTATCTGTAAATCTTTGGTGAAATATCTGTTCAGATCTTTTGCCCATTTTTTAAAATAAGTTGTTTCTTATTTTAAAAGAGAGCATAAGTAGGGGGAGTAGCACGCAGAGGGAGAGAGAGAAGCAGGCTCCCACAGAGCAGGGAGCCCGACCCGGGGCTCGATCCCAGGTCCCCCAGGTCCCCGTGATCATGACCTTGAGCTGAAGGCAGACGCTTTACTGACTGAGCCACCCAGGCATCCCAAGTTGTTTTTTTCTTAATATTAAATTGTGAGAGTTCTTTGTATATTAAATACAGAGTCTGTATCAAATACATTTTCTCCCAGTCTGAGACTTACCTTTTCATTTTCATTTTAAAATGTTTATTATGAAATAATTTTAGACTTATAGAAAAGTTGTGAAAATAATATGGTGTCACAGAAACCCTTCACCCAGCTTTCCCTAATGTTAAAATCTTACATAACCGCAGTACAATTATTAAAACTAGCAAATGAATATTGATAGAAAACTATTAAGTACAGATCTTATTTGAATTTCATCAGTTTTTCACTAAGGTCTTCTAAAAATTTTTGTTTTCTCATTTGAAGAGCTAAGTTTATAAATCTTAGTTTGCATTTTATGAAGTTTATATTTTTAAATGAGAAATCTAAAGACAAATTGTATTTTGTGACATGTGAAATCAAGTTCAGCTTTTCAATTGTTTTAATAGTTTATACTTTCCATATCCTGTTTAAGAAATCTTTTCCTAATCTTAGGTCACTAAGATTTTCTTATGTGTTTTCTTCTAGAAGTGTAAGTTTTAGCTCCTACATTTAAGTTTGTGATCCATTTTGAGTGAGTTTTTATATAAAGTATCAGTTTTTTGCCTATGAATATCCAGATATTCCTAGTACCACTTGTTGAAGAGATTGTCCTTTCTGTGTTGAATTGCCTTTGCAGTTTTTGAAAGACAGCTGACCCATATTGGAGGGTAAATTTCTGGACTTCTCGGTTCTGTTCTAGATCTTATATGGGCGCCTGGGTGGCTCAGTCGATTAAGCACCTGCCTTCAGCTCTGGTCGTGATCTCTGGGTCCTGGGATCAAGCCCCACATTGGGCTCCTTGATCAGTGGGGAGCCTGCTTCTCCCTCTGCCTGCTGTTCCCCCTGCTTGTGCTTGCTCTCCCCCCAACCATATCAAATAAATAAATAAAATCTTTAAAAAGAAAAATACCATACTGCCTTAATTACTGTAGCATTACAGTAAGTCTTGAAATCAAGTAGTGTAGAGCCTCTTATTTTGCCTTTTTGGGGGGGTTTGTTTTGGGACTCCCAATTACAGGTATGCTAAGTGCATGATAGAGGTAGGTTAGGTCAGTGATGCTCTGTGCATTTATTTTCCAATCTTTATTTACTGTGTTTCATTTTGAGGATTTTATATTGCTGTGTTTTCAAGTTCACTAATACCTCCTTCTACAGTACCCAATGAGCTATTAATCCCAACCAGTGTATTTTTTATCACGGGTATTATATTTCTTATCTCTAGAAGTACCATAAAGATCAAAACAAGGAACTGGAAATTCTGGAACTTTTTGTGCTTTTCATGTCTGATATTTATTCATTTATATCTATTAAGAATATTACTAAACAACTGATTTTTTTTTTCTTTCAGCTGCAGTAGACTGCTCAGTTCCATTAAGCATGAGTGCCAGCATCAAATGTAAGTTACTTTTCACGTACTGACTTTTAAAAAACACTTATGGTTAGATGGGTGTTGGAGATAAAGGAGGGTACTTGTTGTGATGAGCGCTGCGTGTTATCTGTAAGTGATGAATCACTGAATTCTGCTTCTGAAAGCAGTATTTCACTGTATGTTAAATAAACATTTCAATAAAACATTTTTAAAAACCTTGTGGTAAACTATACATACCATAGAATTTACCATCGTAACCATTTGTAAGTCTAACCATTTTAACCATTTCAGTGGCATTGGCTATGTTCATACTGTGGTACAACTGTCACCACTACCCATTTCTAGAACCCTTCTTATCTTGAAGAACTGAAACTCGTACCCATTAAACAATAACTACCTTGCAACTATCATTCTGTTTTCTGTCTCTGACTCTGACTACTCTGGTACTTCATGTAAGTGGACTCATCAGGTAGTTTTCCTTTTGTGACTGGCTTATTTTACCTAGCATAATGTGCTTGAATTTCATCCATGTTGTAACATATGTCAGAATCTCCTTCCTTTTTAAGGCTTTTTTGTTTATACAGTCATTAAGTCAGTAGACACTTGGGTTGTTTCCACCTTTTGTTTATTTTTAATAATTCTACTGTGGACATGGATGTACAGATATCTCTTTGAGACCCAGCTTTCCATTCTTTTGGGTATATGCCCAAAAGTGGAATTGCTAGATCATACGATAATTCTACTTTTAATTTTTTGAGAAACCACCATAGTATTTTGTACAGCAGCTACATCATTTTGCATTTCTACCAATAGTGTGCAAGGCCTCCAGTTTCTCCACATCCTCCCCAACACTTGTTATTTTCTATGTTTTTGATTGTAGCCATCCTAGTAATGGATGTTGATATATTGCCTTTTGAGGAAGCATTTTCTAACTTTTAAAAATTATCCATAAATAAAAGAAGTTTGTATTTCTAAGTTTAAGAACTTAGAATTGAGCCCAGGCTTTGCCACTAAATTGCTGCATAACTTTGGATAAATTATTTAACTTCTCTGGATTTCATTATTCCTACATATAAAAATTTGGATAGTACTAAAAGGCTTGACAAGGTAAAGTTCTAGGATTCTGTGATTCTAACTTCCCTTGGTTTATTAAGGTTACTGAATGATTCATTAAAACTACCATAACTGGCACTTTTCTTCAGAAAAATACTGTCTACTATTTATATCCTAATAACTGATAAACTTGATAGTATCTGAAAATCCATATTGACCGAAGTTTTCTAAATAACCTCTACTAAGGAAATAATCAGACTCCAGAATTTGAAATTCCTATTTTAAAATGTTCTAAAAGGTACTATATGAGGCTTTTGTTTGAGTTCAAGTCAGGAAATATATACTTATATACCTAAAAATAGCAAAAGGACATAGATATCATAGCCTGAGAGAGGATTTCTATATTAGACAATAAGTATCAGCCCAACGTGTAGTGCATGCTAAGTGGTGAATGAAAGAAAGAATAGGTAGAGAAATGCCCCTTAGGTGCAGTCTGGGAAAGATCAAAGACAGCAGGATCAGTTGAACCTGATCTCTTCTTATAGACCTTCTTAGTGGAAGAGCTAGGACTTTTAAGCTGAGCCAGTTGCCCCCAGCTGCCATTCAGTGAGCACGGTGTCCTCGCAGGCCCCATGCTTGGCACTTTGTAGGCTCCCTCTTTTGTTCCTTTATTTGTAACAGGCCCTAGTGTGGGCTCTCATACCTGTGAAGGAATCTTGGAGGTCAAATAATTTTAGAAGAGGGTCAGAGGCATTTTAGACAAGAGTCCAGACTTAAATATATATCTTGAAAGACCAGATTGACCACAGCATAAAAGTTATGTGGGCAAGTCATTTTACCTCTTACCCTCCTCTCTTGTAAAATGAAAGGTAATTAGATAATCTCTGAGGATTCTTCCAGATTTTTAATTTCTGTGGTGTATTCTTTTTCTTCTGTATCATATTAATGATATTTTTATAGCACAAAAAACTGGTTCAGTGTTTATCAACTTAAAAAATCTGAATCATTTGGGGCGCCTGGCTGGTCCATCGGTAGAGCATGTGACTTTTGATCTCAAGGGTCTTGAGTTCGAGCCCTACGTTGAGTGTAGAGATTACTATAAACAAACAAACAGTACATAAATAACAATACATAAATTTAATCTTCAAAAAAAATCTGAATCATTTCAATTAAGATGTTTTTACCCTTTGCTGTTAGATTGTTTTGATAAGGAATAAAGGAATTCCTAACTAAAAAAAAAAATGTTTTTACCCAGTTGTCATTATCAGATAATCTTCTTTAACTAGGATCACCTCTAAATGGGAAAGTTTTGCTAAATTTTCACACTGATATTAATTTCCTGAACAATAAATATGTAAAATAAGGTTATCTCTCTTTTTATTTAGATTGAGTAATAAAAAGCCTGCCTGAATGTATGTATTAATCCTCTTACTGAACCAAACCCTGGGATCTAAGATCCATGTTCACCAGTTTAAAGTAATCAGGCATTTTGCATAATATTTTGTTTAGTTCATTAGAGTTTATTCATTGACTAATTCAGCAAATATTAGGCACCTACTATGTGGTAGATACTGTTCCAAGGGCCCTTAGAACAAAAGGAGGTGGAGGTGAATAAAATACCTGCTTTTATAGAGCTTACATTCTAGTTGAAGGAGACAAATGATGAGAAAATACAAAAAAAAAAACTAAGTAGGTACAGAATATGTCAGAGAGTGACAAGTGCAATGGAAAAAAACCAGGCAGGATAAGGGAGATTGAAAGTCTGCTTGGAAGAGAAGGCCTCACTGAGAAAGTAAGCAGAAACCTGAAAGAATTAAGGGAGAGACAAGTGGGTAGATGGGGGAAGAAGAACAATAAAGACCAAAGAAACAGCAAGTACAAAAGCTTTGAAATGGCATTGTGATTGGTGTGTTCAGGGAACAGCAAAGAAAGCTGTCTTGCTGATGTGAAGTGGGCCAGCTGAAGAATGTTAGAAGAAGTTATTGAGGTGGGACAGAGAGAACAGACTTGGTGGGCTGTAGCCAGTGCAAGTGCTTTGCCTGTCACTCTGCATGGAATTGGAAGCCATTGGAGCGTCTTGAGTAGAAGAGTAATAGAGCCAGTTTAACTTTTAAAAGCATCTCTCTGGCTACTGAGTTAAGAATAGCCCATAAGGGGCAATGGTAGAAGCAGAATGACTAGTTAGGAGACAGGAATGCAGATAAGAAATAATGGTGAGTTGGGGCACCCAGCTGACTCAGTCAGACCATGTGGCTCTTGATCTTGGAGTTATGAGTTCAAGCCCCACTTTGGGCATATGTTACAGGATTTTTGTCCCCTTAGTGTCCATGGTTCTTGGTCCTGCCACTTTGAAGAATGAAGAGGTAGACCAGACAGAGTGGTGGGCAGCAAAGCAAAGTTTACTGAACAATAGTAGTCAGAGCTCCCGAAGAGGGAGGGGACCCAAGAGGGGTGCCCTTTGAGCTTCTAAGTGTAGGGGTTTTTATAAACTCATGAAATTACCTTAAGCATCCTGAATGTGGGCCCCTGTGGATTGGCTGCTAAGGTGTGCCAGTCAGGGCTTTGATCATGCACCCATCCACCGATCAGGTTATTGTTCATGTGTGGTGATCTTGTGGGCTGACATTTGGAGACGAAGTGATAGTGACCAATGTTTTATGGTTAATTGTTTTGTTTCAGGATGTTTTGCAAAAGCCATTTTTGCAAAAGCTGCTAGACAGTGTGCTCTTGTGGTCTTGTCTAAGCTGCAAAACAGGTGGTCTTGTCTAAGCTGCAAAACTGCAATAGTGCAGTTTTGTTTTAGCTGTCCCGGCTTTTTGCTTTCTTTTTGGGGACCCTGGCTCTGACTACCTAAGTGTCCAACTAACTCCTAACACATAGAGCTTACTTAAATTAAAAGAGGGAGGAAGGGAGGAAGGAAGAGAGAGAGAGAGAGAAAGAAAAGAAAGAGAGAAAGATTTGAGAATTGACAGCATATAGGTTGTATTTAAAGAATTGCTCCTATTTTTTGTTTTTGCAATTTAAATTTAGCTAGTGCTTATTTATCCAGGGTACTTTCTGCTTTCAGTCAGTTGAGACAAGAGGTTTTCTTTTTTTTGCCATGTAAATGAAAATTGTGATGGCTAGAAGAATTACAAAGATTGTTATCACCAAACTAAAGTGTAATTAATAATCATTATTCTTGTGTTATAGAGCTGATGTTCATTATAATTAATATAACTAACTTAGAAACAGATTTTATAGACACTTAAAGAAAGAAATCTCTGGGTTTGAGCCATCTGTTTTTATAAGATACTCTCTTGTAACAGACTACTGACTCGATCATTTCAATCTTCATAGTATCTAAGCTAGAATAGCTCTACATAGTTTATTGAATTGTTTAAATAATCCCATATTCGAGGGGCACCTGTGTGGTTCAGTGGGTTAAGCGTCTGACTCTTGGTTTCGGCTCAGGTCATGATCTCAGGGTCTTGGGATTGAGCTCCACGTCGGGCTCTGCGTTCTGCAAGGAGTCGGCTTGAGGATTCTCTCTTTCCCCCTGCTGCTCCCCCAGCTCGTGTGTGCCTGCTCGCTCACCCTCTCTCTAAAATAATCTTTTTTAAAAATCCCATATTCGAATGCATTAAAAGACTTTACTTTTTATAGCAGTTTTATTGACAAATGATTTGCATACCTCACTATTTTAGGGGCTTCTGGCTGGCTCACGTCAGTAGAGCGTGTGACTCTTGATCTCAGGGTCATGAGTTCAAACCCCATTGGGCATAGAGCTTCCTTACTTAACTAACTGGATAAATAAGATTCACTGATTTTTACTAAGTTTAAAAGTTGTACAGACATCATGACAAACCAATTTTAGAACATTTGTGTCAGCCCAAAAAGATCCCTTATAACCATTTGCAGCTGCTCTCTCTTCCCACCCCTGGCTTCAGGCAACTACTAACTTACTTTTTTTCTCTATAGATTTGCCTTTTCTG